AAAAAAAAAAAAAAAAAAAAAAAAAATCAAAGAACAACAGATGCCTGTGCAGGTGCTGAGATAAGGTGATACTTCTACACTGCTGGTGGGAGTGCAGACAAATTCAACCTCTATGGAAAATAATGTGGTGGTTTCTTTTTTTTCCTTTTTTCACTCTATTGCCCAGGCTGGAGTGGAGTGGCACACTCACAGCCACTGCAGCCTCAACCAGCTGGGCTCAGGCAATCCTTCCTCCTTAGCCTTCCAAGTAGCTGAAACTACAGGCACACACCACAACATCTGGCTAATTTTTTGATTTATTGTGGAGATGAGATCTCATCAAGTTGCCTAGGTTGGTCTCGAACCCGTGGGCTCAGGCAGTCCTCTCACCTCAGCCTCCCCAAGTGCTGGAATTATAGGCATGAGCCACCGCACCCAGCCAGTGTGGTGTTTTCTAAAGGAACTAGAAACTGATCTTCCATATGATCCAGCAACCCCTCTTTTGGGAATATACCCAGAGGAACATAAATCGTTCTACAAAAAAGACACCCACACTCATGTTTATTGCCGCACCATTTGCAATAGCAAAAGCATGGAACCAACCTTGCTACCCATCAAAAGTAGACTGGATAAAGAAAATGTGGTATATAGACACAATGGAATATTATGTAGACATAAAGAAGGGCTGAATCATAGACTTTGCAGAAATTGGATGGAGTTGGAGAGAATCATATTTAGTGATCTATCACAGAAACAGAAAACCAAATACCACATGTTCTCCCTCATAAGTGGAACCCGAACAATAATCACAATAGCATAAGGGAGGGATCAGCAGTTGTGGGACACGGCCAGGGGAGGGCACGTAACAAAGGGTACCAGGTCCTAAACCAGGGCAAGTGAGGACCAGTTGGAGGGCCAGACTTCACGTACCTGTAGATTACTTATCGAATCCTGACTTGTGCCCCACTTTTTTATAATAAAATAAAGTTGAAATAAATAACACACACACTCACACATACACTGTAGTCCCAGCTACTCAAGAGGTGAGGTGAGAGGATTACATGAGACCCAGAAGTTCAAGGCAGCAGTGAGCTATGATTACATCACTGCACTCCAGCTTGGAACAGATCAAGACCCTCTCTGGAAGAAAAAAAAGAAAGGGAAAAGGATGGAATGATTGAGCCCACTGTGTGTGACCAATCTGCTTTCAAAATGTGAGGCCTCATATTCTTGGCTCTGTCTTCTGTCTTATATACATGGTTTAAAGTGGTGAATTTGATGCATATGTTACTCTACTTTGGGATGTTAATCTTTAAGATTATCGGTGTAATGCTATTACACACAAAAACTAATAAATTATAAATCTCCTTACATTATACTATTTACCTAAAAATTGTGTCATTATAAGAAAAACACATTACTATATCTGAATAAAAATTGGTTTCCAAAATGACCACACATAATTTTAACTACCCATTATTTTTATTTTATTTTATTTTATTTTTGAGTTGGAGTCTCACTCTGTCGCCCAGACTG